GATACCCCACAGTATATAAGTGCATCTCCAATTTATAATGCTATATAGGTTGTTGTAATTCATGTAAATAATCAAGGGTAAAATAAAACAAGTACTGAATATATATGATGATATAATGCAAGGAATTTAAAAAAATAATAATGATCGTGCAGATTGTACCAGACAGCTAATCTTAAAATTTTGGATTGTCCTCTAAACAGAGCTCAAATAAAAGAATACAACATAATACGTATATATGTGAGCTTCTGATGCGTGCGTCAAGTAGGTGTAGAGTATGGACCGTGCAAAAATCCAAACGGCCGGCGAGCACAATAATTTCAGAAGATCTCCACCGTGTGATCGCTTTTACGAACCTCGATCGGCTTTATTGCTTGAATAGCTTATTTTGTTATCATACATGCATCAATTTGATCAAAAGGTTTGTACTTGGAAGAATACACGTCGATTACTCATTTCCACGTTTTAATCGCAAGTGTAGCAAGAGGAAAACAAAAGTTTTAAGATCTGGACTTTGATTAGTGCATTCTGACTTATTTTTTTTTTTGACTGAAAAACAAGGGTTATACCCTGTTCATTAAAACCAAAAGTATGTTTACAAAAACAAGATACGAATTGTATCCATAGAGATTAGTAGACCCTGTTCATTAAAACCAAAAGTATGTTTACAAAAACAAGATACGAATTGTATCCATAGAGATTAGTAGATAGAAAAAATAATTTCTCTTGTTAGGGATGTAGGACCTTCTTCTTACAAACATCCATGAAGATGAAGAGCGGACCTTGCCGTCATTCACCGTTGACATGAATATATGTAAAAACCAAAGCCAGCCATACATTTGATCAAGAGAAATTAAGTTTTCTATAAACTAAGGGAACAAAATAAAACCAAAAGCTGATATATACACAACGACATCAGAAGCTATTAAAAAGATATTGATAAGTCTAGAATAGAAACTGATATAACACTGCTGCAAGCTTCAGCGCCATCTTCCCTCTTTCAGTGCATTCTGACTTATTATATTTTAATAATGTAAATTCACTATGTAGCGAATACGCGTATTCATTTAATGTCTCATTAATGCAATAAAACTTAATCGTCGGGTCATTTCTCTGAGCTCGCGAGGTTAAAGGCATGCATACATGTGAAGTATGCAATTAAAAAAAAATCATGCAATAATTTGCTACATATGCACTAGGTATGCCAGCGCTCCTATTGATTTCACATTACATGCGTACGTGTCAACGTGCAACCTTGGATTAATTAGGTGACAGCAGGCAAACTCAGATTTGTGAGTTTAAACGGCCCCTGCTGCGCTTGAAACTCAATAAATGGCATAATCATTGAATTTCCTGTAACTCCTTAACTATATCAGCAATACTATAATTAGTGCTTCCTGTAACTACTTAACTATAATAACGATACTATAATTAGTGCTAGGGGAATGTTAAACTCATTTGTTCTTGTTCATTTGTCGGTTTAGAATGAGTAGACAATGCAAGTAAGAAGTACAATATCGAATTAAGTATATAATTCGTTAAAGACTGAATTCAAATGCAATTATTGGATTTCGGTAGATGTTATGTGGAATTTTTGCTAGCCATTTTATTCCTTTCCTTACCCACTTCACCCGTTGATGCAATTTTAAGGTGGAAAAGAATTATATAGAGAACCCCGTATAGAAAATCATATAAAGGATCATTCTATTTTTATCTGCATTGATATTTTAACAATTTGTTGAGCGTCGGCTCGTTTGGTTTGTGCGCACGCTTCCGTCAACGTGCAACAATTGGTATCAGAGCTCTGGGGTTTCAGACCTAGGGTTTGGTTTGGGTGAAGGAAATTCTGTGTTGGAAGTTTAGATCTCGAAATTCTAGGCTTCGGTGGAGATAGCGTTGCAGAGTTGCCATTGGAGATCTCGCATTCCTCGTGTGGTTGGGAGTTCATTTGGAATCCAATCTAGAGTTCAAGTCGGGTAATTTCGCAAATCTATCAAGTTCGAATATTTCCTCTACAATTCGGAGTTAGCAAGCAATGGCAGGAGATAGTGGTGAAAGTAGCAAGGCTATGACGAGTACAGTTCAGCTTGTACTTCAGAATACGAAGATCAGTGTTGTGAAGTATGACGACAAGATCACCTTTGGATTGTGGATGAGTGATGTGCAAGATGCATTGAATGCTCAAAATTTGGCTTCGCGGACTTTTTGGAAGATCTTGGTGTTTCGCAGCGATCCATCATCATTTATTGTGATAGCGTGAGTGCTATCTATTTGGCGAAGAATCAGATTTTCCATACGAGGACAAAGCACATTGACGTTCGTTATCACTTCGTCCGAGATATTCTTGAAGATGGGGATGTGGAGCTCGTGAAGATCCACACAAAAAATAATCCAGCAGATATACTCACGAAGGTGGTCCCGAACAACAAGTTCGATCATTGTAGAAGCTTGTTACAGATTTGTGCTTGTTGAGGCCTTTCGAGGTCATTTGGATGAACTACGAGCAAATTGATCCCTTGGGAGAGGGGATACGTAGGCAACCACATTGATACAACCAGATTTGGAGAGACGAAGATTGGTGCTCATGTTGGTGTCGGCTTAGTTTTGAGAATACTTTGCCGAGGTGGAGAATTGTTGAAAACGACAAAGAAAAATAAGACGTGCACAGGAGGAGGCTTATCGGTCGACTGATCGGGTCTGATCAGTCGACCGATTCGACCGCAAGAAAAATTATAGGAGTTTCGGGTCGGTCGACTGATCGAACATGATTAGTCAACCAACAACATGCACGATACAGGGTCCGAAGTTGGTGTTCTAATCGGTCGACTGATGGACCCTTATCAATCGACTGATGCACATTGATCAATCGACTGATGATGGATCATCAGTCGACCGATATCGGGTTACTGGGTTTGATTCGGTTTTCTGGTTGGATTTGGTTTGGGTTTTGATATAAAAAGAAACACATTTTCTAGGGTTTCTTAATAAGAAAAAAGAGATTGTTTTGAGCACTTTGAGAGGGAGATTACTGTGAGGGAGTGAGAGATCTTTGGTTAGGGTTATTTTGAGAGTTTGTGTGACATTGTAACCCGTTGTTTTCTCCTCCATATAGTGAAATCTCTCCATCCTCTCCCCGTGGATGTAGGTAATTTGCCGAACCACGTAAATCTCTGTGTTTGTGTGTGATTTTGGTTGTTCTTTTGTGAATTACACTCGTTAGTTGTTCTCCTCTCATTGCTTGACGACTCGTTTGGTTTGAGCGTACACTTCTGCCAACGCGCAACACAATTTGCATCAATTATATTGTTCTCGGTGATCCAAAATATAATAGGATATATGACGTGTTCTCTCCATCCTTGCTGTATGATTTACTAGAGAGGGTACTCTACAATATTATTTTGGAAAAAGTAAAATAATTTAACCGAGTCCTTAGCATAGCGTAATTTAATTTATATTAATCCTTAACTTAAAAAAAAGCCTTAAGACATAAGATATTTAGACTAAGAATATGAGAATAACAACACAAAACAAGATAATATAAACAATATTTGTTTTATTAACACCATCAAAATTTGACTATTTCTCCCTAAATTTGTTGAAAATTTCCACCACCAATCATGTGCACCACCACCACAACATCACAATACAATGCTCCTCTAATGTCAATAACACCCCCCCCCCCCCCCCCCCCCAACCCAACCCAAAAAAAAAAAAACAATTAATCCAGTAAATCCCTATTAAACGTAATCTAATCCCACTACAAAACAAAGCCCAATAAGACAACTCAAACGCCTTCCCCCTTTTCCACATAAATAAATACCTTCCCTCTCTCATCCTCACACTCTCTACCCCCCCAAAAATAATGAATCCTCTCTCTCTCCTCCTCTTTCTCTTCTCTCTCTCAATCGGACCCACATTATCGACCGCGCCCCGATCACGACTCCCTCCGCCTCAGTCTAATCCGAAAACACACGGATCCATCCAAAAACCGCGCGGAGCACATCGCGACTTAATCCACCACGACCGAAACCGACACAGCTTCATCTCCGCACACATCCTGCGCAAAAAACAAACCGAATGCGCCGGATCCACTCCTCCGCCGTCGCCGCCTTCTCCGGCGGCCAAATCCTTCGCAATGCCGATGCGCTCCGGCGCGTACACGGGCACGGGCCAGTACTTCGTCCGGTTTCGGGTCGGGACTCCGGCGCAGAAGTTTATGCTTGTTGCTGACACGGGGAGTGATTTGACCTGGGTTAACTGCAAATACGAGGAGAGGAGGAAGAAGAAGAGGAAGAAGAGAAGCGGGTCGGGTCGAAAAGGGAAGCGGGTATTTGAAGCGGGCTTGTCGAGGTCGTTTCACCCGATAGAGTGCTCGTCCGCTATGTGTGTTACGGAGTTGCCGTTCTCGTTGACCACGTGTCCGGTGCCGACGGCGCCTTGCGCTTACGATTACGGGTACGGATCCCCCCACCCCCCTACCCCCCGCGCGCTTTGATTTAATAAATCTGATAGCTTGTTGAGTTTGTAATTAGTGTTCTTGAATCTCAATTAGTGTTTACATGGAGACGGCAGCTTAATTAGGATATAAAAATATGATAAGCTCACCCTTCTTTGTGGTCAGTGTGCTTCAATTGTTGATACGGCATATAACTAGGAAATCAGGACATCACTTAATTAATAATGTTGCCTCAGAGGGTTGATTATTTCTTCGGTTTTTCTAACGGGTCCTCGTGGATATTCACTAAGGGATGAGAGATACGGAGGCACGTAGAGAAATTATACTGGTCCCTTTATTATTCGTTTCTTCATACCCCTCTCATTTCCTAGCGGTAGCCAATGCCAATAATGGACACCCGCTAGAGAAATCATTATTACTTTGACGTGTTTAGCAGACATTTTCATTTAAGATGTTCTGGATAAAAGAAAACCCGACAGACATATGATTAATCGGTGTATATTCATTTTGTTAGCAGATCATTTTGATAACGCATTTAAATCGTACATTTTCTCTCTCTCTCTTTTCTCTTTCTTTCATTTGATGTGTTATAGGGTTAATTAGGATGGCGTTACATGCATATTGTTTGGATAGTGATGCTCATATAATTTGTTTACACAAGTCCATGTTAGCTATCAATATCTCACTTGGAAAACGAGAAAAGGACAATGGAATTGATATGTTTTGTTGCTCCTTTTTTTTCGTTTCTCTAACTAATAGGAGCTTGAGGAGTGGCATTGCCGTGGCTCAAATCAAATGGTTACAATAGAAAACTTATAATCTCTTGTAAAACTATTGATCGGTAGTTGAAATCGGGAGTGACAATATCAGACTCGGACTCGCTACGATATAAATGGCCTTAACTTGTAGGGGAATACATTTATATGGAACACGAGATGGCTGCGGACTGTTCTTGCTTCTGCACACAGGAACATTAATACGCCCATTTCTGCGATATTCTGCATTTAATTCCAAGAATAGTTCCTAATGTATGGGGCCCACATGTCATGCAATTGGTGCAGTTTTGGGTGCTCTCATAAATTGAAACAGTTTCAATTTATTAGGGGAAAAGAAAAAGAAAAGAGAAGGAAAATGGTTGGGTTGTTTATCCTGACTACGGAGTCGTAAGTTGGTAGTTGCATTAATTTTTTGGTGCGTATTTACTTTTATCTTTTATTTTTTTTATTTTCCCCCCCTTCTCTATTTGGGCACATGCAGCGTACACGAGATTCTACAAATGGGTGATTGACGCGTATAAAGTGAATTGCACGTCCTATTCCTCTGTATTTATGTTTCCCGAAAGGACGATTTGCTGGTGTGAAGCTCATACACCCTGGATTTTGTTGTTTAATTTTCATTGGATCCTCTCTGCAATCTTGACAGCTTTTATATGTTGGAGCTTCTTTGGCCTTTTGTGCATTTTCCCATTATCATGCAAGTCAAAACACTATTTTGCATATGACTCTTTATCTAGACATGCCGGTATCTTGTTTCTCAACAGCTGACTAACTATCCTGTTCCCACAAACCGTGGCAGATACTCCGACGGATCAACGGCTCAAGGGTTCTTCGCCAAGGAGTCAGCAACCATCGATCTATCCAACGGTCACAAAAAGAAGCTGAAAGGCCTCGTGGTCGGGTGCACGTCCTCATCCGTCGGATCGGGCTTTCGATCATCCGACGGCGTTCTTGGCCTCGGACACAGCAATATCTCTTTTGCTCAAAAGGCCACGTCGCACTTCGGGGGGAGATTCTCGTACTGCTTAGTGGACCACCTTAGTCCGAAAAACGCCTCGGCGTATCTCACCTTCGGCCCGAACTTTTGGCTCCAGCCTTGCGCTCGCGCACGACCAGCTTTATAATTGACCCGACGTTCGAGCCATTTTACAGCTGCTCAGATCGTCGGATTTCTGTGCGACGGCGAAGTTTAAAAAATACCAGCCATGAGCCGTGTGGAAATTTGGGGCAACGGGCGGGGGACCATCATCGACTCCGGCACGAGCTTTGCACGCTGGTTAGCGGAGCCGCTTATGAAGAGCCGTGGTCTCAGCTCTTAGCCGATCGGGTCGCTGGAAAAAAAATTTCCGAGCGCGACGTCGACCCTTTTTCCTCTGCCTTAAATTGGACAAACGCGGGCGCCGCCTTCGAAATTCCCGAAAACTTATCGTGACATTTCGACGGCTCAGGCTCGGCTCGAGACCGCCAGCTAAGAGCTATTGCATAGGACGTGGAGGACGGCGTGAAGTGCCTAGGGTTTGTGTCGACGCCGTGGCCGGGGACGTCCACGATCGGAAACATCATGCAACAAGAACATCTATGGGAGTTCGATCTACGGAACAAACGGTTGAGATTTCAACGATCCACGTGTACACCGTATTGATCGTGAACGTGTACACCGTATTGATCGTGATGGTACATAGGAAATGTATGATTTTTTTTTTCTTTTCTTTCTTTGCTTTCTCTCTCTTTTCTTCCTATGCCCGCCGCACTTGATCAGTTCGAATTTCTTTTCCTTCTTTGGGGAGGGGGGTGCAAAAAAAAAAAAAATGTATGTGTGACGTGATAACGAAAAAAATGATTGGTTGGATTGTGAATGATTAGATTTTGAAGGTTACAATGTAGGGATGGGGTAGGGGGGGTCTGTGGGATGGTGTCGATTGTGAGACGTCGTTGTTGCTACGTGTTGGGATGTGCCCGTGATTGAAAGGGATGGGGAGGGGGGAGCAACTTTCCAACTTGGTTTCAAATGAAATATTGGACGAAAAGGGTACATTGAATGTCTTATGATTAGGAGTAAAGAGGAAGCATGATTTTGTTTCAAAGTTTGGGGATAACGTGGTTGATGCTTGCAAGCATAAGCTTCGGGTCTTGGTTACTATGGAAAAGGGTCGAGGAAACTTTCACCGGGAAAAGTATATTTGATTCTTCAAAAAAAAATGTTCTAATAAGGGGAAAAAGAGAATGCGATCGACTATTTAGAAATTTTGCTTTTGAGAGTCTGCGTTGTTGGGGATTCGAAACAATCAATCGAACCCTTGTCCTTTCGGACCTTGTGTTGAAAGTAGAAAAGTAGAAATAATATCACAAATAAAGATCTAACCTTGTAAAAATAGTAAAGGAGACGAACACACAGATTTAACGAGGTTCGGCAACGTGCCTACGTCCTCGGGAGCCATACCACACGATCTCTTTATTAATTGAAGAAGAATTACAAGCTCTTAAACTAGGGTTTAATCTCTCTGAGATTCTCTCTCTTCTTGCAGTCAAAAAGCTCTCTTTTTTCGTGTTGTTACAACCCTAAAAACGTTTAAGGTATATATAGAGTCCTGGGGAAAACAGAATCCAAAACAGTTTAGGAAACTGTTTGACTACGTCGCGGTCGACCGCGCAGGTCTCGCGGTCGACTGCGGCGGTCGACCGTGCCAAACGACAGAAACTCCCAGATTTCCAGAGAGTTGAGCGGTCGACCGTTACGGTCGACCGAACCAAAAACCCGAGATCAAAAAATCCTACAGGGTTGGTGCAGTCGACCGCGTTCAGCTTCAGCTCCTCTCAACTCTCGTGCACGTTCGCGGTCGACCGCCGCGGGCCGCGGTCGACCGTGGATCTGTCTGCTTGTTTTCTCGTCGTTTTGATTCCAGCTCTTGTCTCGACTTTGAGTCTACACCTTAGACTAACATGCGTGTCATTAATCAGTTTTTTTTTCTGTATAGCATTTTTAGTCTCTAAAAAAATATCAATAAGTTTTCTCGATATGATCAATAGGAATTTTCTTCTTCTTCTTCTTTAAAAGTAAATAGGAATTTTATGTATTATGACGCAAGAAAACGTGTTATAGGAATTTTCTTATTACTGATCAATTCGAGTAATTTCGTCTTGGGGCAAAGATTGGAGTGCTAACATGCATCTATCTTCTCTCTGATTGACCAAACCGGCTATTATCCATTTTGGGAATTTATTTTGTTCTTAGCTTTGTTGTCGAATCGAATGTACAACATTTGTGGCTGGAGTCCAAAAGCAGGATGGATGCAATTTTGTCAAAGCCCAGTATGCCAAAATTTCAACTGCTTTGCTTGCACATTAATTCAATAGGGTCAAATAAAGAAGCTCTACAGCTTGCGGAATAAGTTTTACTTGAAAACTTGAGTTCTTCTTCATCACCTTCTTCTTCTTTTGTTTTTGGTAACTTCTTTTGATTAATTCCAAACTATTGTAGTTAAGAGAGCCCTGGAGGTGAATTTGCTCGTGCAATCTTTATACACAAAAATAAAACTAACAGAAATATGTTCCTTAGTTTTTTAATAATTCTAAAAAATAATACTCTTTTTAATTAAAACATGGAGCTTCTAGTAAGTTGAAATAAATAAGAGGGATTTGCATTGTTCAGTCTCCCAATTTTAAATTTGTTCAACTTCATCCTGGTTTGATGTCTTCAAACACCCTTGTGTATTGTGAGGGACAATTATTGGAAGGATTTCTTTGACTAATAAAAGAGCACCCATATGCTTTCAGCGCAATTATCGGATGTTTGTTTTTGGAGTTCAATTAAATTTTGTTACTAATAGCTTAATTTATTGTTCAATCGCCTCACTCTTCACCTTATTAGCCAAGCACTAATGAGCACGACCATAATTAAAAAAAAAAAAAATCCTTTCCAATAATGATGGTCAAGACAAATTCCTTTGATTAATATCTATCTAAATATTAGCTTAAATCTGTTTCCAAACATCCTACTACTCTTATGTTCAGATTGTGTTTTTTGGATGTACACATAACATAGATTTTATTTACGTGTAATTAACTGAATTTAATACTTTTTTCAGAGGCTAACTGTAAGCTAATCTATTTAATTAACTCAGAAAATATATATATTAGTGATGTGACATGTGGGCTAAGGGTTTAGATCTATGGCTAAATGCTAAGCACATTATCGACGGAGGAAGAGCTGTAAATAGAACAAAACGTCTTGTTTATATCCTCCCTCTCAGTGGTCATTGCAATTTAGTCATGTTACTAATCATGCTCAACCCATAAGCTTTAAAGTTGTGCATCACTGCAGAAAAAAAGTCCAATGTTGTTCTATCCATGTACATAGAGTTTTGAGAGAGAGAATATAATATTTGGAATGCACAATGCTACGGGATGCTGCCTATGAGAGAGAAAGAGAGGAGAGCGAGAGAGAACAATATGGAGGAACTTGATACTGTTGGAGATTGTGGTTAAATCTGGAATGAAACAGTGAAAGTTGATGTGCTGTAATTTTAATTTTTTTAAAATTAACTGTTGTGTGTTTGTGAAATGCTGTGCTTAAAGCAATATTTGCCCTACTCCGGTGTAAGGAGCCCAAGGCCAAACTGCTACCAGGAACAACAGTACAGTACTCTGGTGTGCACCAACCCAGTATTATCAAGATCTCCTCGATCTATAAGATCTTTCGATCAAGATAAATATCTCATCGATCTCAGAACCTTTTGGTTCAAAACCAATAGAATGATATACTCACAATTTACTTGTTTCTCCCCCCTTTGTCAACATCAAAATGGGAAAAACAACACGAGAGAAAGAGAGCGTTAAGCTCCCCTACAAATAAGCATGGGTGAGTATAAAATAAATATATAGAAAAAACTCCCCTTATCAAAATGTCACATAGAATGTACAAAATAAAATACTAAGGCATTCATATGTGAGTAAAAACATATATATAGAGACCCACTAATATCAACTCACGTATAAAAGATACCAAGTGAACACTTACATATGTATCATTAAGACAAAGTGTTACAAGGATCTTAAACAAAAAATAAAAAAATATATTCCAAAATGAATATCAAATATTCAAGAATCAAAAAATTAAAATGTTTGATCAATATATCAAAAGGTCACAAATCATTAAACATAAATCATGATTGATTGAGCACACACATAGATATATTCACTACAACAAATTGCACTTTTCCCGACGCTTATTCCCGACGCATGGTTAAATACGTCGCCAAAAACTATGTTTTTCCCGACGATTTTAGTTAGCGTCGGCAAAACATATATTTTCCCCCACGTTTATAATTAGCGTCGCTAAAAGTGTATATTATTTGCGACGTTTTAACTTAGCGTCGGTAAAAGTGTATGGATTTCCCGACGTTTTTTCATTTTCGTCGGCAAACGTATAGCTTTTAGCGACGTAAAAATATTCGTCGCAAAAAAGTATACATTTGGCGACGCACGTTATCGTCGGCAAAACTATAGCTTTTAGCGACGAACAGTTTTGCGTCACTAAAAAATAAATATTTTTACCGACGCTATATTGCGTCGGCAAAAGTATAGCTTTTAGCGACATAATACTGTTGCGTCGCTAAAACTTATACTTTTGCCGACGCTTTATTATTCATATGCGTCGCCAAAAAAATCCCCCACTTTTTTTTCATCTCCCCGCTGCTTTTCATTTCCTCCACCTCTCTTTTCATTTCCCTCTCCATCTAAAACAGGCCAAACCCCTTTCTCTCTCTCCAACCCCCCCAAATCTCTCTCATCTCCACGCAGCCCATTGTCCTCTACTTCCAAGGCGGACGGCCATCTTCTGAGACTGCACGGCGCCGGCAATAGAGAGGGCGGGGTTGTCCGAGCGAGCGGAATTGGTTGTTTTTAGGGTTCGGTTGATGAAAGTCAGGTGATTGAAATGTCGCCATTTTGTTGGGTTTTACCTGGAATTATCTGATGATGGTTTTAATGAAAGATACGGTTTCTAATTGTTTAGCCCTAGAAGTGAGTTCCACTGGATTTACCTTTTGTTCTTTGGAGAAGTGGCTTTCTTTAGGGTTTTGTTCGATCGATGGGAGTGAATTGTTCGAAATGTTCCTTGTCCGTTTTGGATTTTAC